AGCATTTTGAGGAAATGGCTCAGGAATCTGTGAACCAGGTCAAGACTGTTGATGAGGCTGTGCTGTGGCTGTGGAGAAAACACAATCAGGTTAACGCAAGACTGGCAGGTAAGACAGAAAAATGACTGCACAAATATGCATTTAGAAACCTGTAAGTGTATATATTAACATTGATAATAATAAGCACCGAATCAGCATATTAGAATAATTTCTGAAGGATCATGTGACACTGAAGACTGGAGTAATGACTGCTGATAAATTCAGCTTTGCCATCAACAGGAATAAATGACAATGTAAAATATATTCAAATAGAAAACCGTTATTTTGACTGCAGTATGGTGTAGGAAGAAAGAAAGAAAGAAAAGGAAAACTGGCAGGTAAGGAGGAATCGGGGGAACAGACAGGTGGCAAGAAAGAAATGAAACAGACAGGAAGGAAGATGAAAAAGAAAGAAAGAAAGAAAGAAAAAATAATTAGGACTGTAATGAATGGAAAAAGAAGGTTAAAAAGACAAGAAGACAAATATAAGGACAGAAAGGATGAAGAAAAAAGATGCACCGCAGGGGAGGAAAGGAAAAGGAACAAGGAATTAGAACTGGAAGGAAAAAAGTGGGAGAAATTATAGGAAAAAACATGAAGAGAGAAAAATGAAGGACAGGAAGCAAGAAAGGAAGAAAGACATGAAGGATAGAATGCAAATGTGATAGAAAAAAAGAAAAGATAGTAACAAAGTAGGATGGAAAAGAAAGGAAAGAGAAAAGAAAAGAAAGATAAGTATCAAGGTGTAGGAAGGAAAGAAGGTATGCAATTAGGACTGGAAGGAAAACAAGAAGAGAAGGAAAAAAAAGGCAAAAGCGGAAGGAAGAAAAATAACAAAAGAAAAGAAGAAGAAAAAGGAAGGAAAAGGGACCCGGGGGGAAGGATGGAGGGAAGGGCAGAAAGGAAGAAACTTCATTGATGCACAAGGAGAAATTCAGGAAGAACTATATTTTCATGTCCAACCTATAAATGTAAAGTTCTCATACACATGCTAGCAGACATTACCCTCATTGCTGATTGCACTCGTTATGCAGGTTCAATGAGCGAGGACCCCATGTTTCCTAAGACGCAGTGGCCGACTCCTGATCTCTGTCCCACATGCCATGAGGAGCAAGAAGGCCTTCACGTCTGGAACGAACAGATGGTGCTCGCTTTCCTCAAACAACACTACGGTGCTTCAAACATCTCCCTAAAATACTCCAGCAACAGCCAACCAGAGCCAGGCCCTCCTGCTCCTGACAAACCCAAAGCCATAACCAAACCTAACAACGGTCACCTCAACCAGAACCTAAAGCCATCTCCTGACAGCATTCCAAAACATCAGAAGAGGACAGAAATCAGTGGTGCGGGAGAGAAGCTCACCGGTGTCCAGATAGAAGCCAGACCAGGGATGACATTCCTGGGTCTGGGATTCTCCAGCCTGGACATGAGTCTCTGTGTGCTGCTCTACACCCTCTCCTGTGTCTTCCTCATGTTCATGTTTTTCTTTTTCCGCTCAAAGAGATGGAAAGCCAGAAACTACCGGCCTTACGTATAGCAGCGGAATGCTGAGATGGAAAACTGTGGATAAGGTGAATGTAATATATGAAACCCCTGCCAAGTGTTAAAGGGGACTTTTAATTTATTTGATTACTTTTATTTGTTTCGGTTTTTGTTGTTGTTGATGTTTTTGTCAAGTGCTTTGTAATGAAGAACTTGTCTAATGACTGATGAAAGTCCAACTCGAGTATCAGGCCTAGTTGTGTGAACAAGCACCTGTTAGCGAGTATTTCTCAACCCTAAACAAACAGAGAGGATAATTTAACAGGAGAAACTATTTTATTAAAGTAAAAGTAACAACCGAGCTCAAAGTATATTTTTATGAATATTCTACATTATTTGTAGAGATTTTTATTGAAATAATATATCCTAAGTTTCTCACAGGGTATGTTTCACTCTCTATGAAAGTCACACTGTCCCCATATTTCTGTTTGATGGTCCAAAAAACACTTGGGAATATGATTTATTCTGTTGCTCAAGGTCGCTAGCAGAGAAGCCAGTGACACGTAACACACTGCCTGCCAATGACCAGATGTGGAAAAACCCTTGGTTTTGTTACTCATTGTCCATTGAAATATGCTATATGAACTATTTTTGAAATATGCTATATGAACTCTTATTTAGTTTTTTTGTCTGCAAGAAAAGTCACAACAAGAGCTACTGTGGTACATGAAGTTAATTTCAAGCATAATTTCACATTTTTTTAACCTTTTAAATCCTGTCGTAATGCTTAATAATTAGTTGTATTGGTGCAACCAAGCAGTAAGGGATTTATAATGACTACAATAATCTCTTTCAAAAAATAAAAATGAGTCAGATTTTCAGACTTTTTGGTACTCTGTTATACTGAGCACACTTAGTGAGTAAACCTTTATTCATAATCTCTTCTTTTTTCTTTAGATTACCGAGACTCTTTTGAACTGGAACTTTTCAATAAATATTTTATAATTTTACTATACTATAATTGTACTCAGCGGATTCTTGATCACAGACCATTTATTGTTCAACATCTATAGTACTACAGCAGTATTTTGATTCAAAGATTAGAATTAAAATGTGTTGATATTGTAAAACTTTCAATATCATTATCAGCATTTGGTTTGTGGACTGATTTGTAATGTGTTCAGCTTGTGATATTTATTTTATGGAGCAGTGTTAATGTGGACCTGAGGCTAACTATTTATAAAGCATTCTTAATAAAATACGGCTTCTGTGTTGTGACCGTATGTGAACATAATGGTGGCCTTCTAAGCTGCTCCAAATGAACAGCTGTAAATTGCATTGCATTTAATTATTTCCAGTGTTTTAAGAATTATATTTTTTAAATACATTTCGTATTTCAGAAGGTGGGCCTTCATTTGATTCAGGAACTATTCGAGCCGTTCATGCCAGACTGGGGAGAGAGGAGTTGTAATAATGTAAAATATGTGAAAAATAATGTGAATGTGTTTTTCGAACAACCTAGTATGAGAGCCTGTTCTAGTACACCCCCAAAACAAAATCAAGACTTTGTAAAAGAGCATAATTGGACCCTTTTAAGTTGTAATAATATTTCACAATATATTTTTGATTAAATAAATGCAGCCTTTATGAGCATAAGATAATTGTTTAAAAATTGCATTGCATTTAATTATTTCCAGTGTTTTAAGAATTATATTTTTTAAAATACGGCTTCTGTGTTGTGACAGTATGTGAACATAATGGTGGCCTTCTAAGCTGCTCCAAATGAATGGCTGTAAATTGCATTGCATTTAATTATTTCCAGTGTTTTAAGAATTATATTTTTATGTAAAGGCTATTTTTGGGGGCGGTTGTTCTGTATATATGTAGTTTGTCCTTTCAGGAAAGTTATTGCATTTTGTATAAAGAACACTGTAAGTTGTCTTTCAAATAAAAATGTATAATTCCCATCATTTTCTAGTTCATAACTGCCAACAATGCAGATACATACACATATTTGATGTTTTTTTAGCCATCGATGTTTTATATAGCACCACTATAATATACTGCTACATGGGGTATAATGTAAATGTTTCATTTTGAGATCGGTTTTCTGAAGAGTGGTTCTTAAATGATCATTTATCAGGAGAACAGGATGTACCATCCTGAGAACACCGTGTAACTGCGACTTCAAGTCTAAGCACATTATTGGGAGGTCATTTAAGTTTTCTATTGCTTGTAAGTCTGTGTCTGCCCTCTAGTAGGCAGTATGGAGTATCCCTTTCCCCACCAGCTCAGACTGCAGTCTGTTCTCCCTAGGGACATCACACATGTGACAATACTAACACTGTCTATTACTAGAGCTCCAGCTGTCAACTTAACAGATGTCTGCACAGGCACTCTTGTTTCCAAATGTAAAATAACTTGCTATGTTCATCTCTTCAGACTGGAAAAGGACATTTTTCTCAATGACAATGTGCATTTTGCACTGGAAACTAAGTTTGAGGGCAGTTTCTTCAAAAGACAGTTTAATGTGTCACGTTTTGCTTTTTTCACAGCTTTTAAAAAGACCAGACAGACAGCTGGAAGCAAGTTTTGCAGCATTCACAGGGAGTGTGTGTGCTACACTTCATTGATTTATTATAATTTTCTGCTGTTGATATTAGACAGAAGACTGGAACACGGCAGTTTATCTCTAATAGCGCTGACTCACGCCGTAGCCCATCGGCATCTCAGCATTAAAAGCCAGCGAGTCAGAGACTGAAGCATAGCGCCTTCTTCCCCACTTTGCTGAGAGATGCTGCTTTACTGCCCCACTGCTCTGTACTCAACTCTTACTTGCACACTACAGTCTCTCAGTCATCCGTCTAATATGTGCCGCCTTAAAATGCTTCTCTGTTTGATGTACTTATCTGACATTCAGGGCAGCTTTGAGGCTGAGTCTCTCTCTTTTCTTTCTCTTATCGGTTGAGGATCTGTCTGATGCCGTGTTGGCACATCTGATTGGGTATGCAGACTCTATACTGAGCATGCCAGCCTGTGACGGACTGCAATGCAGAGCTGCTCTCCTGGCACACAATTTGTCTGCCCTTAATGTAAATAATCCTGAGCACGGAGCTGATCATGGCAGAGACCGCTTCTGATGGATTATCTGTCTGCACGCGTTCGGGTTGGTGCATGCGGGGTGCACGCTCCCGTTCTTGTCTTTTCTTCGTGTGGTGATGCTCAAATAAAAGTGAGCCATTGCACTCTCTCTCTCTTTCTGTCTTGCCTGTCTTTTGTCTCCATCGCACATGAACACGTTTACTCTCTGCAGGGCAGTTATCCGCATCAGGCTCTCTCTCTTGCTCGATCTCTCTCTCTCTCTCTCTCTCTCTCTCTTTCTCTCTCTTTCTCTCTCACTCTGTCCTTAAATGACTTTCCTTCAGTCTCACTCCCTCCCCCTCTCTCCCTAGTCTCTGTGTCTGTGCCTATAGCCTCTCTCCCCCTTTATGTGACATACAGTAGATGGTGCATCGATTGCACATAGACGTTTGCTTTCCCTCTCGCTGGCTCAGTCCTGTGCGGGGAGGAAGAGGATGGATCGAGACGTATCTCTCTGCTTTTCAAGCTACCTTTCCTCATGCTGAACTGCTGTGAGGAGCCTGTCTGCATTCTCTCTCTCATCTCGGAAGATTCTGCTATAGAGGTCAGGTAGTGGCGGGGTGGAGAGGGAGGGTGGGTGTATGTGTTTGTCGGTCACTTTTCAGCTTCTTTTGAATACTCCAGGCAAGCTTATGCTGAGTTGCCAAACATGCAGACTCTAGTAATGTTGGGGTGAAGAGAGCTGTTTACCAAGGGAGTTGCTGTGCAGCATTTCTGTCGCATTTTTCTGCTGTGTCTGCACCAGATAAACATTGTGTGAATTTTGAATCTAGTCATTTTCTGTTTGTTACCTCATCAAGCCGGTCCACCTTCATTTTGACTTTCTGCTGTCTTAGATGTCTGGTGAGAACATCCTGTCTTCTCCAGAGATCTGAAACGGGCATTATGTCTCAGCTCTTGCACATGGAGATTCCAAACTTCGGCAGCACTGTTCTGGACAGCCTGAATGAACAGCGGCTGCTGGGCCAGCACTGCGATGTGGCCATCATGGTCAACGGACAGGCCTTCAAGGCCCACCGCGCTGTTTTGGCGGCCAGCAGCCTCTATTTCCGTGATCTGTTCAGCGGTAGTGCCCAGACACTCTTTGAGCTGCCCTCGTCTGTGGCCCCATCCTGCTTCCAGCAGATTCTGTCATTCTGCTACACAGGCCGGATGACGGTGAGTGCCAGCGATCAGCTGATGGTCATGTACACCGCAGGCTACCTTCAGATACAGAACATCATAGAGCGAGGAATGGACCTCATGTTCAAGGCCAGCGCTCCATACTGTGACTCGCAGACATCTGCCACAGACGATCCCCCGAGCCCAAACAACAACAACTCCTCCCTGTTGCTAGGCGACCAACCCACAACTGTCTGCAAGATCAAGGAAGAGAAGCTGGAGACCCTGGTGTGTGCTCAGAATGGGGAGCTAAAGTACTCTGAGGAGGACAGGAGACCTAGGGGCAGATCTTCAAGGAATGGCACTCTTTTTTACACAAGTGGGGGCATAAACGGGGTCATACCTGTGATGCATGCTTATGAGCTCTCGACCCGAGATCATGCCAGTCCTGGTGCCTCTAGCCTCCCGACCACAGACAGCCCAACTTCACACCAAAATGAGGAGGAGGATTTTGAAGACGACTCGTACGAGAGCCTGACAAATGGGAAGATCTTTGGGGGCTCGTCCGGGATCTTTGGCAGTAAATGTCTTTTAGTGGACTTCTCTTTTCCTCCATTGCAGCTCAAAACACTACGGATTGATCCCTTTGAGTGTGATCTGTTTTGTCTCTTCCCAGTGAAAGAGAAGATGGAGGTGTCCTCCCTGCCTCTGTCCTTGGAGAACCGTTTCTGTGTGCTGTTAGGAGGAGACAGAGAGGCTCTGCCTGCCGGACTCATCAGCCAAATCGGCTACCGTTGCCACCCTGCTCTCTACACAGAGGGCGACCCTGGAGAGAGACAGGAGCTGATTGCAGGTGAGGCCTGAATAATAGCAGCCTGTCTGAAACTCCATGTCCATCTGAATTATTTATCAGTTCAGACTGAGCCGTTTGAGTCACTGATTCAGAGCTAAGGTCTCCTTGTTTCTCTGTTGGTGCTGTGGAAGGATCTGGTGTCTTCATGACTCGTGGGCAGCTGATGAACTGTCACCTCTGTGCTGGGGTCAAACACAAAGTCCTGCTGAGACGCCTCCTAGCTGCTTTTTTTGACAGGTCTAAAACATTACAGATTTGTAACAAGCATGAATGTGTTTCTATAGAATGTCTGAAATACTAAGAGCTCAGTTCTACAGTAAAAGTAACCAAGCAGAGATGGAGTCAGTGTTCTAACATTCAAATGTTTCAGTATATTGTGTTTGATAACTATAAGGACTGCATGGTGTTTTGGAAAAATATTGTGTGTGTGCCCTCCAGTGGTTGACTATGGTATTTTGACTGCAGGAACACACTGGCTGACAGCTGTGGGACTGGAATACGTTCCTCAAATTGTGATCCGAATCGCAAACCACTGGACAGTCGCATACTCAACACAGTGAAACGTGAGTGACCCTTTGCTATGCTGTTGCAACAAGCTAAATTTACTCTATTTATGTTCCTGGTCTTAGCGGGCATGATTCCTTTGTTTACTTTTTTTAAAATTTGGCTTTAAAATCTTTCATTAAAACTTTCCTTGCCTCCAATTTCCACTTTTCATGATCCAATCAGTTCCACCTTACCAACTTTTCTCCTGTTTAATTTGGAAATATGTTACAATATGGACGTGAAATAGGTTAAATGTTGACTTGAAGCATTAATATTCCTTTTTTCTCTCTGTTTTATCATTAGTCTACTGTCAGAACTTTGCCCCTAACTTCAAAGAAAGTGAGATGAATGTGATCGCCGCAGACATGTGCACCAATGCCCGGAGAGTTCGCAAGCGCTGGCTCCCCAAGATCAAGTCCATGCTTCCAGAGGCAATCGAGGTGTACAGGGGGACTGCGGTCCTGAGCCAGGTGGAAGGAGCTACCCAGCCAGGCAGTGGCTTTCCCTTTGAGTCAGAGTTCAAACACCTGGCAGCGTCAAATCTGACTCTGGAGCAGCATCTCTATGGAGACTGCAGAGAGACACTGAGGAATGGCTCTCACTTCAATATGGAAGAGAGGTCCCAAAAAGGTAAAGAAGTCAAGACTGAGCCAAGCCGAGCCAAAGAGTCAGACAACCTGCAGGAAGTTGAAAAGCTTCCGGAAAGTCCCGAGAGGGCGGCCAGTGTGCTTGCCCTCAACCCTGCCAGCAAGAAAGGGGAAAAAGAGCGTGCAACCAGCAGCCCCATATCACAGAGAGAGGAACAGAACAGACAGAGACCACTAAAAGACGATCAGTGACTTCCTCCATTTCATAATTTCATACTATTAAAAACTGGTCTGCAGCTTCTCACACCAAAAAGGATCAATATCAGAAGGCGGATCTCCCATGCCACTGAACATCACATTAAAGCTGCATGATCATGGGAACTGGACATATAACATTTTTTCCAGGATAGACTGAAAAACATCTGCATTAAATTTAGTTGTGATTACAAGTTTACCTACCCCTTGCAGAATCTACAATTTTTTTTTTAAATAAGAATGGATCATAATCTAATTTTAGTTACTTACCTTATGAAGCTATTTGAGAGATATTTACAGTTATTCTACGAGACAAAATAATTACATTTAACTGATCCTTTTCAAAAGTTTACATACCCTTGGATTTTAATATCATATAATGCCTCCTCAAGCATCAGTGACTGTTTGTAGGTCTTTTGTAATAGTTGTGCATGAGTTTCTGGTTTGTCCTGAGTAGTGAAGCTGTTTTTGACAAAACCTCCTGGTCATGTAAGTTATTTGGTTTCCCAGCATGCTCTACACATTTGAGTTCTTCCCTACAGTGGCTATATAATGCTGATATCCAGTTTTGCTGCTCTGGATAATTGAGGGACTCGTACAAAACTGTGATGCTTGAGGCAACTCACAATATTAAGAATCAAAGATATATAAACATCTGATTAGGATTTTTGTGTAATTTATTTTTTCTTACGAAATGTATGCAAATATGTGTTTTGCAGCTTCTTCAGGGCAGTACTGAATTACTCAAAAAACACATTTTATGATCTTATTTAAAAAAAAAAAACTAAATGTCTTACTGATTCCCCAAGGGGTATGCAAACATCTGAGCACGACTTACTAAGAAATTGTAAGGATCTTTAATGAAGCCACTTAGCATACGTAAATACCGGCAAATATACAAGTCCAATATTAAAGCAATCTGCAGTCTGTTTTTTTATGAATGCATGTGATGCATAAGCTCTGGCATTTCTGACTAAATGCTTTTGCCAATTACAGAAACAAATGGATCATGGACTTCTGCATGGCAAAAACAAGTGAAGGACAAAGGCTCTCCTTAATATAACACAACTTACATGCTTCAGAAATCAACTATACTGCTTTGACTCCAGCAGGACAGTTGGGTTGCTATGTACAAAGCTGACTGTGGGACTGCAGCATTCAGTACAGTATGGGAAGCTGAACAGAGAACAACAGTTCTCTAGAGAGCAGCCTGGACTCTCAGTTTTCCCTCTCAAGCTTTTTAATCCTACTCTTGTTCTCAAGCTGCTGTATAGTAAATGCTTGCCGTTTTTTTGCATATCAGCTGGTCTGGACATTTGAAACGTGATTGTATGATTGTTTTTGGAAGCGAAATAAAGGAAAGGATTATTTTGAGGGATAATTAGGTTATGCCTATTATTGTTTGTTAAAAAGGACTTTTGCTTGATTACAATGAAATTTATTTAACGTGGCTGGAATGAGAAACGATTAGCACAGTTTTACTTGAATGCAGAAAATACAATACATGTGAAATGTCTCAATAAGTTCTAGATCAGGGATGGACAACTTTGGTTCTGGAGGGCCACTGTCCTGCATAGTTTAGCTCCAACCCTAATCAAACACACCTGCCTGTAGCTTTCTAGTGATCTTAAGCAGAGATTTTCTTACTATTTGGAGGTGAGAGGGTCTGTATTACTTACTATTGGAGAAAGCATAACGGTCAACTTGGATTATGTTTGCCTTAATAACCAATCACATTTCAGCCTTGACGTCATTGAATTTCAGTTGTGCGACACTCAATCGCCGTTTATGGATAAATGAGATCTGCCGTAAGCTGAATCCCACCTGTCGCAAAAAGTCAGTAACTTCTATTATAAAACAGGATTTTTTTTTTCCGGTGTAAACTCTAAAAATAGTTCAATCCAAAATTATTGTTTAGTGTAAAACATGTTGAAGATTAGTCGATAGGCTGTCAATTCATTAAATGATAAGCTGTTTACTCACAAAAGCTGTTTATTCAGTGTAGTGAAGCCTCTCCTCCATTGACATCCATTTAAAAAAACGGCCTCTGGTCTCCTTTCCCACTTACTGCCAAAGCGGAAGCATTAGCATTAGCCGTTACACTTGTTTTGGCTAAAGTTCGCAGGCTTGCCTTCTAGTGGCTTTGTCTCCTTTACCCTGCAAAAGAAAACATTGTTCATTTTCCAGATATCATTAACTATGTTCTTTGAATTATTAAACACTTCTTTTTAAAACTACTAAGCTGGAACAGATTCAGCAGCTGTCCAGAAAGTAACCTGCGATTTGGGCGAGGTAAACAGCATATCGTGGCATGTGTGGTGATTTTGTGATGGTTTTTAGATAGTACATCCTGATCCTTTTCCAGATGCCTCCAGATGTTGCAGAAATCATGAGCAGCACAATATTTCTCCGTTTTTCAGTTGCTCGTTCTCCAGCCGTAAGAGATTCCAAATAAAACGTCTGGTTGAACAGAAAGAAATGATTAAGGAAGTGAATACATCAAATAATAAATACTCTGCTAAATAGTCAAATAACCTCTAAAAAGATGTTTCCTTCAATGAAAACAATTTTCACTGCTAGCAAATTTTAAAATGAATTATAATGAAAAAGCAACTAACACATTTAATTCAATGTGACGCTTTGAAGTAGAAAGACTGAAATAGTATTTTCTTGTCAAATATAGTAAAAAAAAAAAACACTGAAAAAATCTTTACAGTATAAAAACAAATTGCTCAAAGTACAATATAATCCTGAATATTTCTTCTATGCATCACCGGCTCTCTAAAATTAAATTATAGCAAAATGTCATTTGCGCTGATCATCCTGGATTACAAGTTTAGCTACCTGCTGTCTTGCTGCTTAGAGTGTGTGACTGAAATCTAACCTGAGGACTTCCAGTGGTGCCAGCAGGACACTTGCTGTGGCAGCTGCAGCTGAATTCTTCATCTGAGCCAGGAGGATATTTATAGCCCAGGAGACCCGCAACAGCACATCCGCCAGCATGGCTGCATAGTAGTACGGCTGAAAGAGCACATCTCTCAATATTAAAGATGTTGATGTTGTGGGTCAGTTGCGGGTCCGTTTGACCCCTTATAGCCTGCTTTCACTGTCACGGTCACTACACAGACTGAATCACAAACAACAAATTGTGTCTTTTGAGCTGTGATTTGTCATGTATGGTCAATTTACCAAATAATACCTATGCTGGATCTTAAATGTTGACAGCACAGAAGGGTACACTGGTATCTCTACTACTAAAAGTTTTTCTAACCCAGATTGTGGGCTGATATTGCCTGTTGCATTAATAAATTTTTTACTTTTGAGAATTAATATCCAATTTCTGTACAATGTGGGTCAAATAGACATCTATGGGTATGTGCATAGGAAAAGTTCACCCAAAATGTGTAAAAGGTCAATTTTACTTAATCCAAAAACATTTATTTCTTTTGTGGGAAAAAAATTGAATTTTTAAATGATATCCTGGTTAAGAGGGTTGCCAAATCTGTGTAACAAAACACAGCCCAATGAGCAATTAAACTAGCCCAGAAACCAGCCTAAATAGCAACACTTCAAATATGCCATGCACTCTTATAGCTAAAATATATATTTTACTGTCACTGTTATACCTGAAAATCATCAGGTATGTTAGACCAGTAATAATCATAAACAGACTGTTTTCATAAATAAATAACATCTTGGGGGAGGTAATCCTTTATGTTTTAACTATTTGAAAATGAATATTTACAGTTCACAATATAAAATTAGCATTTCAAGATATCAATCGACAGAAAATGCTTCCATAGATAACATTATATTTTTTTATACTAGCAATAATTGTGGAGAGACCTGCCAATTTGTTACCATGTAAACGAAAACAGCTGCACACAGGTTCCTTCTCAATGCCGCTCCCTCACAAAATTCTCCTCACTCTTTCTCATCATCTAGCACAGTTTTATTATTGTTACAATATGAATATGGTAGTCAAATATAATTTATGCAATGTGTCAAACCTTTAACCACAGACTTGGAAACCTTGACTGTAAAGCTGTAAAATGAAATAAATATATAAATAAATATTCCAAGTATTCCGAAGCTATACAATAGTTTTGTGTGAGGATAAGACCAAAAGTTTGAAGTGAACCATTCCTTTAATATACCATATAATGTTAACAAACACAATCTCCAGATCAACCAAAAAACTGTTAATAAAAACCATAAAAAGATAGTGTTGTTACAACAAGAGTATACTAACTTTTACCTTTTGGGAGAACACCAACTTGTCTTTTAGCAGGCCATTTCCCTGAAGTAATCCCCAGTCCATCCTTAAATCCCAGTTCACTGTAACTAGAACACCTGTACAGGTAGCCATGGCCCAAATATACAGGCAGTGTTGGGGAGTAAATAGTTACATGTAACGGCATTACGTAATTTAATTACAAAATAAATGTAACCGTAATCAGTTACAGTTACTAAGAAAAAATGTGTAATTAAATTACAGTTACTTATGAAAATGTTAACGATTACAAAAGGGGTTACATTTGAATATTTACACACATCCACATACAGATTTATTTGAATTCTTTCCCAAATTGAACTGCTACTCTAAAATATGAGGCATACAGCCCTATGCAGGGGGCGCCGCTAGCAATTTTGGGCCCTATGAAAGAATATGAGGTTGGGGCCCCTACCACACCAAACATACACTATATTGCCAAACACCAATGACTTGTACATATGCGTACAATCATTTTAAACACTTCCAAAACTGTCACTTCCAAAAAAATGGAAATACAATTTTTAAATACATGAATTATGTTTCCATCTTTGATGCCAGAGTTTTGGAAGTGCCTTTTTCTGTTCTAAAGAAGGGGGTGTCCCAATACAGTCATTGGTGTTTGGTGATGAGTTTTTGGCTCAAGGTCTGCATTTAAAGTCACACCAGAGGTGTTCAGCTGGGACTAGGACTTCTAAGGCTTTCTGCAGACCAGTCAAGTTCTTCCACACTGACTGAATCAATCTTTTTTTTTTTTTTACCTTGCCTTATTCACTGGCATTGTTTTGTTAGAATAGAAAATGGTCCTGTTCAAACTATTGGTATACAATTAGAAGCACACAATTCCCTATAGAATTATATGCTTTTTTTTTACTAAAAATTAGAAATTACTAAAGTAGTCAAACCTGTTCATTAGAAGGGGGTGTCCCAATACTTTTGGCAATATAGTGTACA